CTGGTTCTCTGTATCCAAGGCATTTAATTATGTAGCAGAAGTTGCTGTGACTCTTTCCCCATAATTAAAATTGATTTATAGGGTTTGGTGCCCTGAAAAACCATTGTTCCTGCTCAACATGAAAAGAAGTCTTGTGAGGATTCCGTGTTTCTGATTGTCCATAGTACTTTCTTTGAGACACCAATAGCATTACACATAAGGCCCTAGTGCTATGGAGAATAAGTTTAAGGGGAAAAAGTAAAAAATAATTTTCAAAAAAGGTTTAAAAAGTGAGGAAGAAGGGACACAAATACTTGAGAAGGGATAGTGAAGGTTTTTAGAACTCTTCACAGTAGCAGGTCTTTATAACATGAAAAAATAAACCCATGTACTATTGTCTACATTGTCAACATCGTGACCTTGTCATGTTTGGATTGAAACCCAGGTGGTCAAGTAGAGTTAGAAAAGTACATAGTTCAGGATGCTAAGCAGCAGATAGAGTCAGGATTAGGCAATCTGTTTTTCCTCTTTTAATTCTGAGATCATTTAATTTTCAATAAAACGCTGGCGGTTAAAAATAAAGCACACTACATTTTATCATTCTCCCAGAGCTTTTTAGTATTTAGGATGACATAATTTATATTAATATCCTCACAGCCTAACACAGCACCTAACCCAAAGTAGAAGTTTAATGAAACACATAAAGAAAAAGTGAGTGAACAAATGAAACAGTTGATCCAAATATTAGCATAAGATGCTTCATTACCAATTAGAGAGCAGTTTCTGCCCTTCCTAAGGATACAAGGATGGACATAAGAAAGCCCGGCTAGTTCTGTGTGTTGTTTGCCTTGGCCTCTTCTGTTATACAGGTTTTTACAAATTCTCCAAAATATAGACTGCAAAAGCAAACCAAACAGTGTGACAAAAGTGGGTAGCAGTTACATTCAGTTACAGACTTGGAAGTATGTACATAGAAACTCTCAGTGCAATAATTCTATATGGTTATGGAAGTATGCCACTGACATACACGAGTGAGGACCAGCTGCTCACTTCCTTTGTGTTCTAGCATTCTTAAATGTTTTTCTTCTTTACAGAAAAACCTGGGCCTCATGCTATTATTCCTAGTTGGTGACTTGCCAGGTATATATATATATATATATATCACATGCATGATTCCATACTGGCTTCTCCCAGAGCTCCTTCTGAACTTTTGCATCCTAACCATGCCTGCAACTTTCCAGCCACTCTCCTCCTTCCCCTTGTACTCACAGTGTACAGTTCATTAGAAAGAGATGAATTTGTTTTGCCTGTCTGTTTTACGATCAACACCTGTCTCAGAGAAGGCTGTCAGGAAATATTTATGACCTGATGAAGGGCTGAGGTTTTGACTAAATTACCCAAATTGCATGGAGATGCTTTTTTCCATCCCCAAACTGAGGATTGCATTAGTTTGCCTCCTGTATAAACACTGTTTGATCTGGAAAGAGTAACATGGTCACTTCAAATACAAACATCAGAATTTCATTTGATTGTTATGACACATAAAAAAAAGAATAATTTTATAAAATCATTATTTCTTTGTCTTGGTCTTTTAATCTAATGTTATTTATTCCATGTTTGTCCATGAAAAGCCCAGCAGTCACATTTACTGTGCTTCTCAAAGGGAAATCAGAAACAGGAAACAGTGGTATAAAAAAGTTGGTCATGTACTTGTCACAAAGCAAGAGGGAGTCTCTCACAGAGTCAGCCCAGGAGGATATGATGGTATTTGGCAGACTTATCTCCCCAAGGGCCCTCATTTCCTACTAGTGCTAACAATGGCATCTTTCTCCAGATAGAAAATCTGGCATAGTAGCAAACTTCATACATCTCCCTTTTGTTACTCTTGTACTTAGACATATTCTTTATCTGCCTTTCCAGTGTACCATAGGTTCTCTCTCTTTCTATCTATCATCTATCTATATATCTATCTACCTATCTATCATCTATCTATCTATCATCTATCTCTTTCAAGCCCTGTGCTCATTCTGTTCCCTTTCTGATGGATTCCCCACAACCCACCTTCTCCATCCAACTCTCATGCAGCCTTCATATCTGTGTTTTGATACCATATCTTCCATGAGTGCCCGCAATCCCACCTCTCTGGTATGGGCTAGATTCTCTCCTCTGAGTATTTATAAGTGTTCTACAACTTCTCCTTTAATTCTCATATATAGCTCTTTTCTTTCCTAAACCATGAACTACTGAATTTACCAGTACATCCCTGGAACCAAGTTGGCCCTTGATGCAAATTTGTTGAATGAATGAGTGACACAATGAAAGAGTGCATGTAATGATAGCTGGACATGCAGGGAAAATAGTGTCCTCTTCCCAGTCTCACTTTCAAGGCTCTGCTTGGCATTCCCAAAGCAATGGGGATTTCATTTCTAGGACAACTTTACCTGTCTGTGCATCCACTAGAGCCTATCCCAATAACAAGTTAGGTCTTCCCTGAGTTCCCTAAAAGCAAGGCCAATGCATTCTGTGTTTGAACTCCTGTCTGACCCAGTCTGAAGTGGCTCAGTAAGTCTTGTGGATTCTAGAAACTGGCATGGGGGCTTTTCTCACTCCACCTTTTCCCAGGTTCACACCACTCTACCTGCTTTCAACTTGCCACAGAGGTATTTATTTTACTCCAGTATGACTTTAGGCTCATATACGCTTCTCTGTTTACTTGGTTCATGAAAATAATTTCAAATAATCTCAGTATTAGTAACTTTTATTTCTAACTAGTTTGGAGAAACTGAAATCATACAAACAAAAACCAAAAATGATGCTAAGAATGAAGACATATTAGATGATTGCCTTGGCAGGTGTTTTGTTTATAATTTTTATAATCAATAATAGAATGTCCCAGTTTTACATTATACATATATATTATGTGTGTGTGTATATATATATATATATATATATATATATATATATATTGGATATCTATACTTCAATAGAAAGAGACGTAAAAAAGCCTTTTCAAATGAGGCATAACACGCAACACTTGACACTCTTATTTACAATACAGAGATGTACTTTCTACATGATTATAGTAGAAGCTCAGAGACCAGAGAGGGTTTACAAAGACAGCAGGACACCTCTATAAAAAAGAGGTGCCCTATGCAGCTGGACATTTATTGCCATTAGTTCTCACTATGTCCAGACAGCATGAAGTTAAAAATGGCATCTGGTTATTGGAAAAGATGGTGATCATCAGATTCATTCTGGTGCCATTACTGCTGGCTACAGGTCTTTCCAATGACCAGGAAATGGTAAATGCTGCTGATGGGAACTGGAAACACAACACATAGTGAACTCATCAGAGGGGCGTGTCTTCTTGTGCGGCCAGAAAGGAGAAGTTGCTATAGACCTCTGGTCCTGCACTGAGCACGAGCACTTGTCCAGGTCAGGAACCACATCATGGGTTGCATGACTAGGAAACAAATGCCTCTCAGATAACAGAGCCAATGCATTCCTGCTTATGAATAGCTAAAATCTGTGCCCAGCACCAACTCAGGAACTCAGGGAAAATATCCATTGGAAAAACCCATGTGCTAAGACCAGGATATAAGGAAATTTCTGAAAAGACCCACAAAGAAAACCTCTAAATCTACTCTAAAAGTCAGTCTTTGCGAAATATTCCATAATCACCCCCACCACCACTACACATGTTTAGGAAATCCACCCATTTTCAGTCCTGTGAAATTGCTTATAGAGCTTCATTTCCCATGGTCTACATTTAATTTAATGTGAGAAAATCTAAAATTCTCTGATGAGCTCACGTTCACTTGGTTTTATTACCATGGCATCTGTGACCTAGAGCCATGGTACAGATGCCTAGATTAAACAAGTTTCCACACTGCAGAAGGGATATTCCAAAGAAGCATGAGCTTTCACATCCAGAAGATGGGTGTCCATTCCTTTGGTATAACTAAATGATATTCACTAGTCTGTCCTTAGCCCATACAGTGCACTCAGCTTGGGAACCATATTGAATATCCTGGTAATTTAAAAAACTTCCCCTGTAAGTTACTTACCAATAATAATTTAACTTGCTTCTTCATTCTGGCTTTTGTTCTCCAATATGATCTCAAGTTTGTCCCTGTTATCTATTTGTTTTTAATCAATGGTGACCATTCTTAGCCCTTTATTTCCCTAAGGCAAGAAGACATTGCTATTGGAAGATAACCAGCACCCTTCTTAGAGCTCCCCTGAGGTTTGTACCCAGCATGCCTCCATTGAGATATTTTTCTCCTTCCAGGGAGAGAAGTAACTAATCATGTTAATGGTTTGGATTTTTTGCAATCACATTCAATGCCAACATAGCATTTCTTTGGAAGTGAACCAGGGGGAGCGTCATACATGAGTGTATTAATCCCATGAGTGTATTAAACCCAGTGCTAGATATTGTCTCACTCAGTTTTCCCTACTACAGACAGAAGTTTAAGCAATCAGAAAGACAATTTGTGAGTCAGACTATGTATGCATAGAAAACATCTGAGGAAATAGGTGAAGCAACTAATCCAGTGTGTTCCTCTACTTGATTTTGTTTGTAAAAACATTACCACCAGCATCACCCTTGTCCCTCCTTACTTTGCTGTTATAAAGTAAAATGGGGATTTATCAAGCATTCCTTTGTTCCTTGTTTAGAAAACATGAAGAGAAAATGAGTGTATAGGTGTCACTTTGTTTGATCACGTGGCATATTTGAATCTATTAAGGATTCTATTTACACGAGTATGTTCCACTTCTACACAGAGGGTAACCTGAGTTTTGAAATGCTGTGTGCACTTAATGTAATCAAAATGATAAAGCTATGAGCTAGTAACATATTGAACAAATCTAGATAAATTAGAGCAATCTCTCTGTGAACCAGGGTGTTTTAAATAGTAGGCTCACCAACACTAAGTATTTTGTTTATTTCCCCATATTTTTCTTAGAAAATATCTTCAATGAGACTTCAGGCGGCTAGACAAATTCAGGCAAAGTTTGTTGTCATTTACACTGTTTGTTTAGCTTTCCCAAATGTCTGAAATGAAAGCACCTCATGGTCCAATCCCACCCCAGCCTCCATCCCTCCTCTTCAGTCATCCTCCTGCAGCTCTACCCTGGAATGAAGAAGTCTGTAAAAGCATGTCCTTCCTAAAGAGCTCAATTAAACAATTCTGGTGAGTTACCCCAGGCCAGCTCCCTCACAGCCACTACTTGAAATAGTTGAGTCCTGCTACCAAGAAAAACTTCTCTAGGAAAAGTTCTGAATCCAGCACCGCGATGTGAGCTGCGCGGCCGATCAAGGTGTTGGCAGTGTTGGGCAAGGCGTGGAACACATTGTGTCGGATCAAAGTGCAGTCCTTGGCTTCCACTAAAGGGCCCAGGAGGTTGTTGATCATTTCTGCGTAAACTGGCCCTGGAAGGAGGAAAGAAGGATATGAAACCTGAGCAGAAGTTAGCAGAGGAATCCAGAGAGCAACACTGGGTGTGAGTCAGAATCCTTGTCCTGGGCAGGGCGTTATAGACCCATTTCCAACCTCCTCCAAGTGTTTACAAAATAAATAAGAAATGAAATCAAAGTACTCCTTGGTCAGATTACAATGGCAAGAGTTACCAGGAGATTCCATGTAGCAACCTTGAGCACTGTGCAACAGGAGCCATGACAGAAGGGTGTGGGAGTCCTCAGAGAGGGCTGTCTTCTCAATAGAGGGCCAGGAGGAAGAGCACAACACTGGAGACCCAAGTTCCAGTTCAGGAGACCACAGGAATTAGATCCATATCTCAACAGAGCCATGGAAGTAGACAACTTCCAATGTCCTACACCACAGAAGCCTACTGTGGCTCCACTGATTCTGAGTGCCAGGGAGAAGGAGGAGGAGAATTCAGGGTTTGTGGTGTTCATTTGTTTTATCTTTAAAATTTGAAAGTCTTAATTGACTGTGTTTCTACCTAAAAAATGCCTGAATTTGTAATTTTGCATCAGACAGTGGCGGTCTTAAGCCACACAGTGAAAACAAGTCATTGGGCAATGAATAAATGTCCATACCTCCGAGACCTGTGTTCTTCCTTTCTGCAGTACTGTTCATGACAACTTTTGAATTATGCAGAGATGCCTTCTGGAATGATCATGAGGGCTAAGATAGTTTATTGACTCACTAGGGAGATACTCCAAATGACATAGTCTATTTTATAAAGCCAGTTTGGTACCCCCAGTTTGTAAAAGAGGAATAACTTTTGAATGGGAACAGAGACTGACCAGCATTACTCTAGACAGTCCTCCATTCCACATGAAAAAGGCCACGATGTTGACCTTTCTCCAAAGTTTATTAATAGGGTAAGACCGGCTGGGGCTCTGCTTTCCCAGGTTGGGAAGGACAGTGACTCCACACAAGGCCAGGAGCAGTTTTGTTCTTTTCTCCCCTTCTCAAGATTGACAGGACCTTTGAGGTAGAAGAATTTGAAATATAAAATGAAACAATCAGGGACTTGTTTGTGAACATCTCTGCCCTTCTCTTGTAATTTGTGCTGAAAAGCACATGGGGTTACAATAAGGGACATGATCCTTCCTAAGAGTCTCTCATTACTTTAGCATAGTGGTATTGCAATAGGTAGCAATATGCTGAAAGGTTACAATGCCATGAAAATTGTAGGTACAAATTGCTTGTTTCAGAGAGAAAATGAAAACCCACTAAAAGTCACCATCAAAGGAATGACTACCTAAGCCATGTTTCACAGGCTGGTTAGGAGATTCTGATACACACATGTAGGTGTTAGATGATTCATATACAAACAAAAGATGTATGTGAATACCATACAATGAGAATAATAATGTAGTAATGTTCACAAATAATGGAAATGGAAGCAAGTTATTGTGACATCAATATCATGCTTTGTTTAAACTATATATGAAATAAAGGCCAGTAGGTCATTTATAAAATAAAAACCTCAAAGAAAAACATATGCTGGGTACTCAAGCTTTAATCCCAGTTAATCGAGAGAAGGCAATTTGGAGGATCCAGGTTCAAGGTCACTCAGAGCAAAACCCCAAGTTTGTGAGACCCCATCTCAACCAATTGCTGGGCACAATGGTGTATGCTTTTTATGCCAGCTACACAGGGAAGCACAAACAGGAGGAGTAAGATCCAGGCTGTCCAGGGTATAAAAATAACCAACACAGAAAGGGCTGGTGGAGTGGCTCAAGTGGTACAGTACCTGCCTAGCAAGCACAAGGGCTCTGAACACAACTCCCAGTACTGAAAAAAAGGGCATATGACACTCAAAATGTAGTGATTGCTCAATCAAATCATTTTCTGCTGAGCTAGAAGTTACTGGTTCCATAAACCCTGAGACAATCCTCAGTCCTGTTTTTAAACATCCTAGCACCTATCATATCCTTAATTATTTTCCTAAAATAAAGTACTGTTTTCATCTTGATTAACTTTCAGGATAGGAGCAATTAATATACATGACAATGCAGTAGCTAAATTAGAAGGTGACACAGAGACAGAGGAGGCTGAGCGGTATCTTACTTCAGAGATTGTGGGAAATAGAATTATCAGTACTTAAAAACAAACACATGAAAGCAACAACCAATATGATTTTAACTTCATATCAAATGTTCCCATTTGTTTAAATAAATTCATCAACTAAGCCACATTCATTTGAGGATCAATTAAAAATATGACATAAAACATGAATTTAGGAAAAGAGGATACTGTTCTCAAGATGATTGACAGAGTTTAAGTCATACGTTAACATTCTTTTAAGAACAGCAAGTTTTGTGAATATCAGTGAACTCCTTCAAAATGGAGGAAAAGCCACAAAAGACTACACCTTAGTCAACAATAACCTTGGCAAGTGTATAAAAAGTAAAGTCATTGCATCTCTGTAGTGCAGAGAGTTACAACTCAAGACAAAGGACCAGGTCCAAAGTCCCCTCACGATGTGCCTTGCTATGCTTCAGTCTCTTCATCTGTGAAATTGGAATGATACCTGCTCAATAGCCATTGTGAAGAGGAAATGAGACCAGAAAGTACATGAATTGTATCTGGCACATAGTGAAAATATGTAGTCTCACAGTTCGAAAACAGGGTGGGCACATATTCCCATTCATATTTAAGACCTTCCAAGACATACAGGCAGCATGGAAACCACTCGGCCTAACTCTGCCAATGCAGTGTAAAGTGTAAATGAATGGGTGTGGCTCTGTATCAATAAAAGTTTATAAGATAGGAGGTGGGTCAGATTGTGACCCATAGTTTGTGGAGTTCTGTTCTTAAGCCTTTACAGGATTCAAATATCATAAAACTACTTCTATAAGTCAAGAATAGAAGAAAGCAGGCAAGGAAAGTTAGCAAATGCCCACACAAAGAAAAAGTTTGGAGATCTACCACTGATGACTGCACTTGATCAAGTCTCAACTTAAACCCAGGTCATTGGCTCTTTATTGTCATAGGTCCTAGAGTGTAACAGTGTCTCATGGGCATTAGAAAAAACTAAACATGGATAAAAATACAGAAGAGAAAGTTCAGGTTGAAAAATCATCAACAAATATCTTTAATACTTGATCTCAGAGACAGAAGGGAAGACAGATAGGCACTGATACCTTCTGGGAATACAAGTACAGTGGGTATAATTAAGACAATTTGGCAAACATCTTCAAGAGAATGAACTCATTAATATTTTTGCTCCAACATTACCACAACTATGAATCTGTTTTAATTAAATATTATAGGTTTGCAAATTATGCATATGTATCATAATTATACATTTGTAAAAATATACATACCAAAAGTTCTATAGTCTGACAAACACATGACTATATTACACAAAAGAAATAGCCAAGACAACCATTTCAAGTCATACACAGAAACTTTTGCCTATCCTACCACTCGATTCCAAGACAAATACAGCATTATGCTACCTATAGCCTAGCTGCCCCAATAGGCATGTTCAATTCCATGAATTTATTTTTGCTCCTTGCTCAGAAAGACCCTTTTAAAATTAATTGCAGCTTACCTGTGTGTCTGTCTTTGAGTGCAGTTTTACACATTTCGATCCTGGCTGAATGAAATGGCACATAGCGATCTTGGGGAGAAGCCACCAGGACGACGTTTTTGAAGTACTGCAGTCCTGTAACAACAAGCCTGGTGAGTGCTTTTAATCTTGTTAATTTCAACTGAAACTCCTGGTTTGCAGGGTGAGGAGATAGCAGCCACACAGTGGTGCCACCACACTGGGAGGGGAGCAGGGGGCTCTGCGCTGAGCTTTCATGGTGTGTGAGCTAGGTACAAGGCATTGCATGTGCCCTTGGGAAGCTGAAAGAACACACTACTGTGGGGCTTTTGAACTGTGGAGTGAAGAGGAAGTCTTTGTTCTCATCAACCATGGAAGCAAAGGAGGCACACAGCAAGCTACTAAAACCAGCAACAACTAAAACAAAATTAGCACCTTTGTGAGGTAGGAAAATTAAGGAGTCTATAAGGAAGGAAAATGAAGTTTTTACTTCTCTTCTTTCTCCCAACAGCTCCCTTAATTCTACCCCCATCATGTCAGCTTGTGAATTCCCCTCCCCATCTCCAACCTTACCTTCATTCTTCTGTCCCTCACAAAGAGACTGGGGGATCTTCCAAATTGGACATCACAGTGCAGCACTGCAACCCTCATTGCCAATCGTGGAGCCCTAAGACAGGGTATGCTCTGCCCAACTTAGGACAAAGCTCTTTTTCTCATACTGCTGGAAAGTAGGCAACTGACAGCTCTAAGCCAGTGTCCCTCCATTGAATTGGATCCCTGCATCACAGGCCCCTGAGATGAGGGGCCAGTCTGCATCACAGGCTGGCCAATAAGGGGATGAGAAGGATAAGGTGACTCCTCATTCTATCTCAGGACAACCTTGTAGTGCTACCCCTGCTTCTAAGCTCTCCATGTTTGGAAAAACTAAGACTGCATAGCAATCTAACTTCCCCCTTTGCCCAATCCTGCCTCCCTCTCTCCCATAGTGGATGACTCTGAGCATTCAACTTGACATACAAAGGCACAAAATAGGAACATGAACTTATGGCTCTGACAGATTCACATTCTTAGAAGGGCAATGGTATCAACAGGTGTTTATAGAATTATGGAGTGTGCACCAAGAGATCAACCCTGGGTAAAATCAGCTTACTCAGCAGTACTGAGCAGACCCATCGGGCAGGGCTCTGCACCCTTACCAGACAAAGGGACCACTGGACCATGACTGTTGCTGTCATCTGTGGCCATCTTCATGATGCAATGAGGCCTTCCCACCTCTTTGCACTTCCTCACCACAGAGTGGGTGAAGGTGTAATATCAGGCCTGTGTAACAACATGTAAAATGTTTCTTCTCTTTTTGTACATGGCCTGCACCTGGGTGAGGGTGGCACATATGCCCTGGGCATGTGCATTTAGAACACTAAAATACTGTTGGGAATTAGAAGATGCAGCTTCTCTGTGTCCCAATGACCACACACATCTTGGCTCTCATGGCTTCTGTGCCACACAGGAGGTATATTAAGGGAAGCAAAGCTCCTTGAGAGTTTCTGACCTCCCAGTTGGTAAGAGAGCTCACTGGATGTTCTCACCTTATTCCATGTAAGTGAATTGACATTGCATGAAAGGTAATTTGTATCTCAGGAGTCAGATTTGGAGCTCAAACTCAAAAGTGCAGCTGCAGCAGGAACCACCCACCTGTTTTTTGGCTTAGTTGGTAGAGGAAACATTTGCGTAAGTCAGTGTTATCCCTGAAGGTGAGCTGCAAAAGGGACCCTGACTTCTTCAGTTTCTGCATGAGCCACAGGCCTAGCAAGATAAAACAAAGCAAAACAAGAACATTGCAGTTAACTAAAAAAATAAGAGTTACCATTTTAGCAAACACTTGGGAAGTTAGAAGTTTATTTGTATTGTGGTGTCACAAAGTTATAGCAATGGCCTTCTGAAGTTATCAACACCCTTCAATTCCTTCCATCTCCTGCAAAGGAAGTTAAGGAAAGAGTCTACAATCTGAAAAGATATGTAAGAATGTTCTTCACAGGTCCTTTCAGAATACTGGAAAACTAGAACCAATGTTTTGTTTTGTTTTGTTTTGTTTTTTCAAGCCCTTCATTCAATTCTGCTAATGCAGACACTAACACTGAGTATATTATGTTGCAACATCAAACAAATGAATTTGATAAACACACGAGGACCTAAACAAAACATAGTATATTATATTGCAGTGACTGCTACATGACTACGTATGTGTGAAAAGATAAGTGGAACATGCTACATGAAATTACCCCAGATATGCTGCATGGGAGGAATTATTGGTAAGGTCTCTTTGTTAACTTTTCCATGATGTCTCAAGATTATAATTGTGTGGAGGGAGTAGCTTAATTAATTTCTGTCCAAAGATGGCTTCTGGATTTGTGAGGAAAGCCACAGTGGTGAAGAAAAGACTTCTATTTGTTATGTGTCATACTGCCAAATAACTCATGTTTACAGGTAATGTCTTTTAATTTTAAATCAAAACCCTGAGTCTGGCTGATGTCTTGAGGAAAACATCTGAGTGTGTGGAAAGTACAAGGGGACAGTGGCAGAGGCCCAAAAGTTTGGCAGGTAGGGGATGGCTCATTAGAGGTGACCTAATGGACTTGGACAAGCAGAGACTACACTGTGTAGTCTCTAGTAACTCTAATAACTAAGAGTTACTAGATAGGACTCAGTGGTTTACATGGGCTTCCAAACAATTCCTAGGGTATACCTAACATCTTGCCACCTCGTGTGGGCCTCTTCATTCTCTGACCCAGTGCAGGCTGTGCTTCTGTCACAGAGAGGTACCTGTAGTTAGCTGATTGATTCATCCTTCCATGCTCTTACATATACCATTTCTTCTACACAGACAACCCTTCCCACCATTTGCTGTCTTGAAAACTCTGCTCATCTTCCAAACTACACTGAACCTTGCTTGTTTATCCTCTATATTCTCCCTCCTTTACAATACACACTCAGTTATGAAAGACTCAAAGCTAGGGGCAGGCAAGCAAAAATCAGCTAGATCTGATCCACAGGTGTTGATTAACTTCTTTTTCCTTGTTTAACCCTTAAGTTATCTATGATATCCACAGTCACATAAATAAAAATACACATACACAAACTCACACACTCTTTCTCTCTCTCTCTGTCTTTCTCTCTCTCTCTCAGAAAGGAAAGAGAGAATCAGTCCCATGGATTCCACATCTTCATATTCTACCAGCCAAAAATAAAAAATATTGTTTAAGGTTGGATTCATAATGAGCATGCACAGACTTTATTTCTTACATCGTTCCTTAAATAAAAGTAGAACAATGGTATCTTTCTCCCATTTCCAGTGTGGTGAACAGAGAAGGTTTCTTCCGTCCAGCACCCTGCCCCTGACTTTTTCTTGCTTTGTCATGTTATACTAAATAAATCCTTACTAAAACTTAAAAAGGTAGGGAATTTATTTGTGTAGTATTTACACTGCATTAAGTATTATAGGCGGTGCAGAGATGACTTAATGTATGCAGGAGAATATGTGCCAATAGGTAATATGTAAATACTACACTATTTTATATAAGGATTCATGAATCCTCAGTTTTTGGTTTCCATGGGGGGGTCATGGAACCAATCCTTAACCGATACTGAGAGATTACTGTATACACATCTATCATATACATACATGGTATAAACATGTAAACAAATATGCATACGTAGTTTCCATTTTGCAATAAGTAAACTAAGTAGCATAGGATGCAATGTGTTAACCTGAGTCTCGCCTATGTGTCTGGCTCAGAATCTGACCACAGGCTCCTCACGGACCTACCATGATTCAAAGCCCATGTTCTCTCTGTCTCTTTACTATGTCTTTTCGGTCTTTCCAGGACCTACCATGATTCAAAGCCCATGTTCTCTCTGTCTCTTTACTATGTCTTTTCGGTCTTTCCAGGACCTACCATGATTCAAAGCCCATGTTCTCTCTGTCTCTTTACTATGTCTTTTCGGTCTTTCCAGGACCTACCATGATTCAAAGCCCATGTTCTCTCTGTCTCTTTACTATGTCTTTTCGGTCTTTCCAGGACCTACCATGATTCAAAGCCCATGTTCTCTCTGTCTCTTTACTATGTCTTTTCGGTCTTTCCAGGGACATTACCTTTTGGTGAACAGAGCTTTGAAGACATGAAATGATCTTGAAAAACATGTATTTTCTATTCTCCCTCAGTTCATAAGCAAAAGGGCCATATTTCTAAGCCCAGGTTTCTGTCTCGTACCCCATGCTTGGAAGAAGCACCCAAGTTGCAGGATTCCATCAAGAAGAGATTACATTTTGCCGCTCCAAATTAATTTTGAGGAATGACAAGGTTTGAGAAGTCTTACCTGTACTAACCAGGGTGCTGTTGTTATATAGGGTCCCCAGGTGAGGCCCAGACAGTGACAGGAATGTGTGGAGTTTATTGAGGTAATACCGGAATCGGGGCCGTGTGAGGACTGATCGGATGATAATGTTGCCAAGAGAATGGCCGATGAAGCTGTTTAAAGACAGAAGGGTGCACACGAGTGTCACGGCAAAGGCCAGCACGGGGAGGGTGCAGTGCCAGAAGCACCAAGGCCTCAGCATCCCCCACCTACCCCTGGATGTAGGGGAACTTGAACCACAAAGGGACTCTACCAATTCACCCTCACCAGGTTTCCAAACTCTGGCAGTATTCAGAGAGATAAGCTTTGACTGATGTGGTCAAAGAGAACTGTGTGTCCTCCTCTATGTTACTAGAGAAGTCTCCCTACCCAGCCAGTCCCTACATCTCTTCTGAGTCCACATAGAGGTGTGGAGAGTCCATTGTGAAATCCACATCTGAGCATTGAACTCTCCAGGTCATTTACAGGACGCAATTCCAACCCTTTAGCCTGGTCTATGAGGACATCCACAACCTGACCTCTGACTCCTTTTCCCATTTTCTCATTTTGACTCCTTCTCCCATTTTCTCATTCCCTGATTCACCTACATATTGATTGAGCTTCCTGCTCTCCACTCAATGTTTCTGATACTCCTATATCATGTGCTCAAGCTGTCCATAAATTGAACATTTCCATGGATTCAACTTTTCAATTAAATAATTATTTATTGAAATCCTCTTTTTATAATAAACAGAAAAACAGCAAAGACAAGACATGCATGTTAGTCTTTAAAATTACATTGTCTTACTTATGCCCTCTCATTTTTACCAAACCTCTACAGACCTCAGAATCCTCATTTGTAGAATAAAGAAGTGGTATTTTATCCTGACAACTCAGTAGGATAATGCCTATTGAGGGCTTAGCATTTTATCTATATATCCATGTATTAAAAACTACAAGCTACTTCTCTTCTCCTTAATCATTTAAATATTTAGCTCAAGTGATTTATTATAGGTGAGTACAAAATTAGCACTGATTGAACCCCTCTCGTTGGGCAGGCAATTCATTCTGCTTTTGAATATATCTTCTTAATGCTAGTCCAATTAACAGATCAGATGATCAGAGCTTTAAAAAGTTTGTAAAAGGTTAACTTGTGAGCATAAGAACAGAAGTTCAAACCTAGGAATTCTTATGTTAAGTCCTATACTCTTTCTACTGAACAAAAAGCTTTTATTCTCCCCACACATACTGTGAGAGATGTTTGCGTGTCAAACATACTTGATGCTCACTTCTGCCTAAAGATAATGAATTCCATTAAAAGTCACAAGTTATTACCATAGGTTACAGAGGCATTATAACAAACTCAGGTACTACAAACACTCAAAAAACTGTCACCCCTCTTCCCTCAGCATTAACTACCTGTGGTTTCCTTTTACCTAATTCGGGATATGGAGAGATTGTACAATTGAATGTGTTGAATGATTTCATCCAATAAACGATCCGTCATGGTATCAAAATCTGCAAATGTGTCCATCTGGGAGAAGAGAGAGGAAAAGGGTGTTGGCAAAGTCACAACCAAGGCCAAGAGCTGGGTACAAGCTGTCTTCTCTCATTAAATAGCACAGTGCATTCTGGGAGTATGCATAAGTTTGATATTGGAGTTGAGGTTGGAATTTGGCTTTAGGACAAAAGGGCTCTAATGAGGAAATGGAGTAGCTAATGAGCTGTTGGGTAGAAAGAAGAGGTGGAAGAGCTAGAGAAGAGTGGCAGGCATGTGGTGTCTCACACATGCCCACTAGTTCTGCTGCCTCTACTTCACAGAGGTTGAAATAGACTCTTAGAGGAGAGGCCGCCCACTCACCTCGTATGAGTCAGGATTTATACCAAAACATCCTTGCCTCCAAAATCCTTGCCTTTTGCCAACCACACCTTTAGGCAGTGCTGCAATGTCAAGTCCAGAGGACAGACAACAGCTTTGGGGAGGATCTTAAAGCCATGTTAGAAAGGATAATCAAAGGATGTAGGTGCATAAAAGGAAGAAGAGGAAAGTCACACAGAGCTGAATAGTTTAAGGGCAGGCATGAAGGAGCCATGATAGATGGTTTATACAACTTTGAGGACTGACTTTTGGAAGCATGGATGAAAGCCATGAGGAAATAAATTTAGGCCAACATCTACAAACAAACACAAAAGTCTCTTCTAAGTGGAGATGAAAAACCACATCCTGAAAAACCTGGAGCTCTGAGCCCCAGGCCAGGAAAGGAAGACAAAAGTTCTCATGAATACTTATTAGGAAAGCCCTGAGGTTCACCGTTGCTCTCAAAGAGCCCTGAAGATCAAGAGGGCCAGGGCCCAATAGTGAGTCTCAAGGTATCATGGATTAAGAAGATCTATCTATCCCAGAGCTTACCCCACTTGGGTCTATGCCTTGGTTCTGTGGCTTCTCCAACCTAAACCTAAATATCCTGGTATCTTTTTTTTTTCATTTTTCTTTTATTATTCATATGTGCATACAAGGCTTGGTTCATTTCTCCCCCCTGCCCCCACCCCCTCCCTTACCACCCACTCCACCCCCTCCCGCTCCCCCCCCCTCAATACCCAGCAGAAACTATTTTGCCCTTATCTCTAATTTTGTTGTAGAGAGAGTATAAGCAATAATAGGAAGGAACAAGGGGTTTTGCTGGTTGAGATAAGGATAGCTATACAGGGCATTGACTCACATTGATTTCCTGTGCATGTGTGTTACCTTCTAGGTTAATTCTTTTTGAACTAACCTTTTCTCTAGTTCCTGGTCCCCTTTTCCTATTGGCCTCAGTTGCTTTAAGGTATTTGCTTTAGTTTCTCTGCATTAAGGGCAACAAATGCTAGCTAGTTTTTTAGGTGTCTTACCTATCCTCACCCCTCCCTTGTGTGCTCTCGCTTTTATCATGTGCTAATATCCTGATATCTTAAAGGGGACGATGCTATCCACTTCTCAGCATCACTTTAAGAACTGATTAAAATATCAACAACACACTTAGGACCGGTGCTGCTGTTATCATGACCCTTTAGCCTTCAGAGCTGATTTGTTCATCTGCAAATTTCTGATTTAACGTATTATTTTTAAAATGGTTGAGTTGACCATGATGAAAATGATATGAAAATCATAGTATGTTTCAAAAACAGTATCAGGAATTCCCAAGGCAGAGTACTTTAAAAAGGATATATTGCAAATGGATCTGCTTATGAGACTTTCAAATTTCAAGAATAGTCCCACAACACATTGTGGAACATAATTAATACTGTGTGACCAACCTTTCTGTTGTAGGGACTTGCCTAGAGACCTGGCCCCAAAATTCCTATGGAATCCAGGCTGAAACTAGCTGCTATGGGCTGCATCACAGAGTGGTTATGTGGACACATGTAGAAGGCTGAATTTCTGCCAGACCTCTCTTGCTAACCATACTCATTTCCACTGAAGAAAAAACTTCACTTGTGCAAATCAAACACAAAGTCAGACAGTGCTAGTCACTCCTTGGTAAGGGGTTGCCTTGGGTAACCTTTCTTAGGACTAGACCATTCTTGGCCACATATTAAATTCTAGAGCACAGATGCATTATCTTCTTCAATTATTTATGACATCTTCCTCTTCAGGTCAGACTCAGGGTGGAACCCTTCACAACTCCCACAGCCTCTGCTCCCTCCTCTGTAAAAAGATGATGGTATCAACACCTAATAGTACTATTGTGAAGATGGACTGATTAAACACGGACAGAGTACCCACACATAATGGGTCTTCAGATAATGAGTCTCTTTATTCTTCCTCACATTATACCTCTTTGAGGCATGGCATGGACTATAGGAGGTATCTAAAAAAAGGCAACAGAATTAAGTAGATCAGGAACAAGACAGTACTTTCTAGTGCTGGTGCTTATGGGATCCTTTGCATATAAATAGTTTTATTCCTCCAAAGGATACTTGGGCCTCACTTGTCTCAAGTTCCATGGTATGAAAATCACAACAAACACCCCAGCTAGCCCTATTCCTTGCTCATCAATTAACTAATGTCTCAATAACACTGTCACCTCCTTAAGGTCCCACAGGCTCCATCAACCACTTCTGACTGCAAAGCAGTTGTTGGAATTGATAACCCTCTGGTGCTGAAAACAGACACACAAGAGACAGAAAATCTTGATAAGGCAATTTTCTCTTGATCAAGAGGGTGCAAGCATGTGCTCACTCCCGCTAAGCAACACACAAGCACAAAATGGCTGACAGTGGCTCCTCCTTATATCCCTGATGCAGTCGTACCTGCCCTCACCTGGGATTTGTCCAGGTCAAAGATTCACAGTCTTTCCCAATTGGCTAAAAAGCTTGGGGGATGGGTTAGGGTATGCAGTTTGGTGGGCAATGGAGTTGTACAGGAACCCAGAAGAAGAAGCAAAGACCCTTTAAACATGCAAGTGACTTGAGGAATTTTTAAGTAATCTAAGAGGGTAACAAATACTTTCATACAAAAGATCATTTTTCTTAAACAGTCATAAGCCAGTTCTTTGGTTACATAGATGCAAGTGACTATGCCCTGTCCCCCAGTGTAAATCCATGGAAGCCCAAATAATTAATGTTCCCAGCTGCCACCTACCCTAATACCTTGTGAAGTCAAAAGGCTGTTGTCAAATGATTCACATGCTGGATCTTATGCTGTCATTCCCTACATTTTCCTTCAGGAAAATAATCTTTTCCTCTCCAAACCATCCAAATCCCTGGCCAGTGTTCTTGTACAAGATTCCTTCCTATCTCTGTGTGTCCATATACCATCACAGACTTTCAGGAGGCTTGCCTCCAAGGTTCCTTCTGTTTTGATGTTTCTGTTGTCATACCTGATTCTTTTCAGACATTAGGAAGTCCAGTTTTCCTCCAGGGAGCCCCAGTTCTATGAAAGTCTTGACCAACCGGAGGTCTGCACTGTTCCCTAAAAATGACAGAGAGCCCCCCACCCCAATCCCATAGTTAATCATATCAAAGGTTACACAAGGAATTGTTTTTCTCTCTCTTCCCCCGTTGTTATTGGATTTTTCTCATTATTTTTAAGTAGCTATAAAAACAACTAAAACAAGTTAAGCCCCTAATTCCCTTCTGCCACTGCCCCATACATGCATGCACAGGAGCAGTTTCTCTCATTGTCTCACCTCAATAGAATCATTCCCCGATCCACTAGAGCAGGCTTGTAGCTAGAGGCATCACCACGCTCCTTCCTCAGAAATACCTATTTCCACAGACTTTTTGCACAATGTGACACCAACAAGCCCTCTCTTAAATTTGCACAATGTGATTAACAAGAAAGTAGCTTAAGCCCCCTCTTAAATTACTTGCTTCATACAAAAACTATCCAGTTCTGCCATTCACAGGCAATTAGCAAGACCCACGAATAGGCCAAACACAGAATCTTATTAGAGTAAGAACCAAACTGTCTAAATAAAGTAATAATCTTCCCTGGTCAGAGAAGCCCTGGAAGTATCAGGATGCCAAACATGGTGGGGGTTCACCTGTAATCCCCGCTAAGTGGGAGCCAAGGCCGGACCTAGGTTAAAAAATGAGGGACTCTATCCAAAAAACAACTTAAGAAAAAAAGGATTGGTATTATGGCTCAAGTGGTAGAGCACCTGCCTAGCATTCACAAGGCCCTGAGTGCTTCCAAAAAAGAACCAGCTCTATGGATGCTTAAGAAAACCAATCAAGGGCACAGGAATGAAAAATTAAGAGTTCCAGGCTGTGGCTAATATCAGAGGAAGAAAAGAACACAATGAATGCATTGCTAAGATTTAAAAACATCATGGAGAAAATGAATTTAATATAACAGAATAACTTTTTAGACATAAAAATCATGCAGGTCAAAAGGGTTCAATTGCACCTAAGTGAATTGTTGGCCTATTTTTCAACTGGATGCCTGTGAAGTCAAAAGTGAAAAGTATTTATCTGAATATCTAGTTTATCTGCTTTACCATGTGACTCAACTCCACAGGTCATGGTTTCTAATAGTTTCTTAAGTATAAGTGAAATTATAGACTTGGGAAATGGGTCAAGAGGGAGAGTACCAGCCTAGCAAGCATGAGGCCCAGAGTTCAAACTCTAATACTGCCAAAAAAGGAAAAGAAAATGAAAGAAATTACAACTAATTTTATATCATTCTTAATAAAATGACTCAATGATTCAAAAGAGGGTAGAAGAGCCACCTGGACTTTGGAGGAACTCAAGGTTTGGGGACATCCCTAATCTTTAAGGGATGACCCACTATGTTCAGATGACAGCCATCTCTGTGACCTATCACAGCACATGCCCAAATCTGTAGGGTTGTGGTCATAAGTTGGACATGTTCCTTTAGGAAATATGTGTATTTTGTCTTATGAAGTTAGATTTTATTCATCTTTCATTTGTCTCAGTAATATTAGGCTCTTTGGTCCCACTGTCATTGTTGCCAAAAGTTTCCCAATGACATTTCAGGCCATAGCCTTAGAATAAAAGTTGCAAGTGTCTGTATTTAGCATAAAGCGTTTAAGAGATGGCAATGTCCCCTCTCCCTGAGTTACTGAGGAAGAGAGAGCAGTCTGGAACCTAAAACTTTCTCAGAAGATTTCATTTAAAATGATGTTAAATTGAGAACATTTGCAAGAATATAAATCTTGGAGTTTTTGCTCCTATAAAATTCTGAAGAGGTCAGAATTTCAAGGTACACCTTGAAAACTACAGAAGTAACTTTCCTAAGAGAAACCTGCTTTCGTTATCTGTTGTCGTCTTGGAGACCTCGTGCCCACTTGATGACATAACCGACAGTTCAGCTCTCTGACACAGTGCAATGCTGAGAAGGCTGCACTAACATTCTTCTACTCCCACAGGCATGATGGAAAAAAGTAAAAGCCTGTTGCCTGAACAGATTTCTCATTTTAACAAAGACACTGAAAATTTCTCAATGTAATTTAGTATCTCCAAGTGACAGGCACAGACTGGTCACATGTGAATTGAGATTATCAGTAAGGTATTCTTTGTCCCTGCATGTCTCAGAACTTGGTAGTGTCTGATCTACAAAAAGTGTCCCAAAATGAGAGAAGGAAAAAAACAGGCGACAAAATAATTTTGACCACTAACCTGAGCTCTTTAAAATTAATTAACTCCTGCATTCTAATTCTTCATACACTTCATTACCAGATTCATTCCGTTCCTTTGATTTTGAATATTCATTCCTTTTTATCATTCCTTCATTTCATTTATTCATCTATTGATTTATTTAATTCATTCTCACTCCATTAATATATTCATTTATGTATTTCACTTACTCAACAGCTATTTTTCACTGCAGAGATGTTTTCTTTTGAAAAAAATAAAAGCCATGTCATGTCCTCAGACTTACACAGTAATTAACCCCACAGTTGCTGACAGATTATTTTTTAAATAAATACCTGACTTAAATTAATTAATAAACATTTCAAATTGTATATAGTATAAAATGTTAAGTGGAAACTTCTTTTCATAACTCACCATCCAAGCCATGGACACAGACAACCAGGTGAATCCCATCTTCCAAGTTTTCTTCCTCTTCCTCTGGTGGGAAATATGGCATGTCAGAAGCTAGTACAGATAAGTCACTGTACAGAAATCCTTCAATCTTCAGTTCTTTTTTAAATTTTTCTTTGGCCTGATAAAAACTGGAGAATACACTAATTAATCATGAGCCAAGGTTTATATTCCATATTGAGCAGGAAATGAATTGGACTGGTATGATAAACATCCACACACAAAGTATGTGCTGAGTGGCAAATGTTGAACATGAGACCTTGGGGGAAATGCTGGTGAGCATAGCTTTGTTCTGAATGTGAAGGCAGGAGAACACCCAAGAAAACCAAAGGGTTTTGGTTCTACAGATCCCTACATTGAAGAGGGGACTTTGATAATGGGACTTCTAAGAGTCTATCCAGACCTAAGTATCCAAGCAGTCTTCCAAATGACCTTCCCAGAGTGGATGCTGCTTCCCCTGACATCCAAGCCTATCATAGTTTGGCCTTCCTCTGATCCTCTAGGACCACCTCCTCCAATTCCCAGGCTCCAAAAGTAGCACATTTCTTATAATCCCCATATATGGATTATCTTGGCTTCATTGCCTTGGTGCATGCAGATCTGGATGCCTGAAATATCGTTTCTACTTGGCTATAATGTTCTTTGCCTGGTTACCTCCAAAGGTAGTTAAGAGTATATCTCAGGAATCAGAATGCATTCTAAGGTCATAAGCTTTGTTTTGACACTTGCTGGTTTTTTTCCGGTTGACTATCCCTCATCTGAAATGCATGGAACCAGAAGTTTTGGATTTTAGATTTTTTCCAGATTTGGGAATACGTACATAAACATAATGAGGTATCTTGAGAATGAGACCCGAATCTAAATATAAAAATAGTCTTTGTTTAATATGTGCTGCATACACATAGTCTAAAGGTCATTTTCTTAATAATATTTGAAATAATTTTGGGCATGAAAGGGTTTCATGGTGTGAAACTTTCTTCTTATGGTATCATTGTCAGTGCCCACACAGTTTTGGACTTTAGGAGTATGGGTTGAGGGCATAGCTCAGTGATTCAGTGCTTTCCTAGCATAGTTGAGGCTTGGATTTGATTCTTAGAACCAAAAAAATAAACTTTTTGATTTTGGAGCATGTCAGATTTTGGATTTTAAGATTATTCAACCCATATTACTACCTATTATTGGCCATATCATCACCACTGTCATCAGCCATCAGTCATCATTCTCATCATTACTGACATTTCCCTAGTGCAGATATCCTCTTGTCTAAGAGGCTTCTCCTGGCCTCTGTCCCTATTTACAGTCATTGCCCCAACCAGATTCAGTTTTTACCCTCTGGCTCCACTGAGCACACATGATTATCATGTTTACACAGACACTGCCCTTGTTAACTGCCCAGTTAGACCAATACAACCAGGACAACCCTGGACAGGCAATGGGCAGTATCTGTTTGTACTGATGACAAGTGTCAGATGATAGGCATTTAACATTTTTTATAAAAGAAAAAGTCCAACACTTATCTACCCAGGCAATTTCTTTAAGGGAAAATCATTAATATGTAAGCATGAAGATTTTGTAAAAGAGAAAATAAGCTGAGCTACTCAATCAAATACATAGTTTGTAAGTGAGTTTGTGAGAATAGAAATACAAACTCAACAGGAGAATGAAGGGATGGATCTGGCACTGCAAAATGAGCACTGAACTTAAGAAGTCTAAGATCTTAAAGGGGGCTTAGGAGACAAATCTGATGAAGTACCATCCCATCCCATCAAAGACTCCTAAAAACTCTCCTCTCAAAATGTGCAGAGACAAAGTCATAATGGCATTTGTAAGAGAGTTTGTATTATAATAAAATATGAATAAAATTTAAATATCCTCCTGTTAAGGATTTGGTTAGTAAATCATGGTACTTCCATACATTAGGATTATATGGAAATATTAAAATGATACTGCAAAAACAGACTTATAAACATAGAAATATATTTCTAATATGTTATTAAATTGGGAAAACTCATTTAAGAACTGTCAGAATAAAACTGTTTTACATAAAATGTATATAGATATATAGATAATATCTATACATTAATTTTCTATATAGAAAATTGTAGAAGAACATACATAGTAATTGTGTTGAGAGGTGGGCTTTTTGATAATTTCTATTTCCTTATACAATTCAGCATTTCTGACTTGATACATAGGAATTTAAATTGGAAACAACAAATATCTCAGTTTTCAAATAGTAACTGAAGAACCTTTGAAACATCTAAATGTCTGCTTGGTGTTAGGTAAGCCATCAGCACACTCACCTAAACATTCTCTCGCTGACTTCTTCCTCCAACTTGCTGGAATGGGAAGATACAACTCCAAAGGAACCTAAAGGTTGATGAGTGATGGGGACTGGAGTCTGTTTGGAAGAGAATCCAGCCCTGGCAGGAGTTTCCTTGGGCACAGATGAGAAAGGGAGACATGTGGCAGTGCAAGACACAGATAAGTTTACAACCTCCACAGTCTTCAGGCTGTCCAGAGTAAAGGACTCTGCAGAGGTGAAGGAGGACCCCATGATGGAAGTGCCTGCCTTCAGCTCTTGGTTTCGCAAAACTTGGGAGGAAATGGAGTGAGTCACAGTGGGGCACATAGTGCCTGCTTCATGTTCCACCTCCAGGAAGGCATTAGGTCCAGTATTCAACATCGCCTCATCAATCATGCACGGTGAACCTCTTTGTGTGCCTGTAGAACGCAGGCCAATGGAATCAGCAGCCGAAGTGCAGCTGAATTCAGGCACCTTATGGTAAGACACACTGCCAGCCTCTGAGATGCTGCTGTTAGAGGTAATGTGTTTGCCCACATTCAAGTCTTTAGCTCTGTCCTTTGAAGTTTCCACTAATGCTCTATGAAAACACCTGGTCCTAGGATTTTCCAACGTTATGACACGTGGTATTTTTAAGTTAAGACCTTTGGTTTCAAAACCTGGAATGTTCTCAGTCCTGCCATCTACACGACAGGGTCCTTGAGGATCAAATTGACTGCCTGTGCCTTTGGGGATGTCCATGTACCCAGGGCTCTGTGGTTTGTCCCTAAGGGAATGACCTGCACCATCATCCTGGATTCTGGAACTACTGCAAAATTGAGTGTTGTGTCCATGGCAATTGTTGCTCTTTCCATGTGTATCAGAGTCTTCAGCAAAGTCTGCCTGATTCTTCTTGGAGTCTTCATGTTCAGTTGTGTCCTCAGGGCTACTGATTTGGGGTGCAGATACTGATTTGGTTAGCTTAGTGAGTGCTAACTCCCGCTCCTCATCTTCAAAAGGCAAAGAGCTAATGGAGGTAAGAGAAGCCTGGACGCCACTAGGCAAACTGCTATTGCTCTCTGTATGCCCCCCTTCTAAGGAATTCCTGTGGAGGGCATGTCTTCGAGCCATCTGGTGCACGATTTCTCGATCACTGGGTAACTCCAGTGCTCTGCTTCGGGCCTCTGACCAGGTGACCGAGCTTGGCTCACTCTCAATGCCTGAATCAGATATGATGGAAGAAGACCTCTTAATGACCCCAGACATCATTGACAGGTCTTCTTGCTCTTCTGTGTGAGGGTCCTGCAGGGAAGACCAAGTATCCAGGGGCTCCCTCAGAGTAGAGGTCAGTGGGCCACAGGGCTCAGCAGGGGTAAGCCTCAGGCTCAGCAGAACCTGCTTACCCTCTTGGTCTGCTGTCCTTCCTAGAGTACTAACCTCAGGGAGAGTTGTTTTTTCTGAAGAGATGGCATTTTGGTGACATGCATCTGCTACCACTTTGCTTGGCACAGTCCTATGGAAACAACTATTTTCTTTAGAGCTTCTATGCTCATGCTGAGCACTAAGGAACTCCATGGGTTCAGGTCTGTGGGGGTTCTTATTGGTAGACTTCACATCAATGTAGGTCAGTGCTGGGCCCTGTCCATCTTCTGGCCCTGGACTCCTTCTTGGCATGTCCACATCTGCTGGTGGGTAAGTTCTAACATCAGAACTCTGGCTAGTCCAACATTCATTTTCAGGCACTCCTGCTTTGTTCTGGAACTCACCAATTGTCAGATACACCTGAGATTCAGAGCAGACATCCACGTGATTTTGTGTGGTTACATTCTCATCTGGCTTTGGACAGCTACTAACCTCTTCAAAGTCCATTTGGGGTGGTTTCACAGTAGACAAGACAAGATCTTCCCTAAAAGCTGATTTTTGATTTTCAATACGGTTCTCTTCTTTTTCTTTTAGATTCGTTATTGAAGGATGTTTCATTGGAACATCAAAATTAGGATAAACACTCAAATTATGCCCTACAAAAAAGAAAGATGTATTATAGCTTACAAATGTATGTTTCTAAATTATGCAACTACCAAGTTGCATAATAAATAATTTAGTAGTCCCTTATTTCTGTTTTTGGAGGAAAAATGATCTCTAGACTTTTGGAATTTCCCAATTAATAGAAGTATATGGGGTTCCTAATAGTTTATGCCATCATAAAATAGGTGACTCATGTTGAATTCCTAAATGGTTTATGGTAATGCAATGAGTCAGAATAGTGACTGGCCAAGGCAGAGAGACCAGCCGTGTGAACACAGGGTTAGGATATAGAACCAAGTCATATCAGTGTGACTTCTAGGGACAGACTGAGTTCAATCATGAGGTTGGTGATTCAGTCAGTCTTGTCTACATAAAGAAATCCCAATAAAACTCTAGATACTGTGGCACAGATGAGCTTCTCTGATTGACAACACAGATAGATGTTCTAGGAGTAATACCCTGAGAACTCAGAAACTCCTGTTTGGGACCTCCCAGACATCAGCCTATGGATCTCCCCTTCTCTCTTTTCTTCTCCTCCCCTCCTTTTCCCTCCTCTCCCCTCTCCTTTCCTCTCCTCTTCTCTTCTTTCCACTTTCTCTCTCTCCCTCCCTCCCCACCCCTTTTCTGCATAGTCTCTTTCTTTCTCCCTATCTTTTTTGTTTGGTTGGTTTTGGGCTGGCTTTTATTTGCATACTTTATAATAAAAATGCAATCATGAGTATAGTTCCTTCCTGTGTTGCCTGAGTCATTCAAGCAAGTTATTGGACCTGAGTGGGTTATAGAAACCCAGAATTTTTGGCCAGTTGGCCAGAAGTGTGGGTTGCCTGAGGTTGCATTTAGTATCTAAAATGAAGTCAATCTTACCAGGAGCTGTGCCTTTAAATATGAAGCTTGATGTAACTCGGAGCATTTAGTATCTGATTTGCATTTTGATAAAGAAAAGTTCTCAAATCTTATTACTTTTATTTACTTTTTACTTACCAAAGTTTAGTATTCTCCACTTGTAAATACTGTTTATCTGATGCACACAACAGTATTTACAAAGTAAGAAGATAGCTTTGGAGCCAGGAAGGCCTAGTTGCCAATCTGGACATTGCCACTGACCAACTCTGAGACTCTGGACACCTGTGGAATGTAAATACACTTTTTCTATTGGACTTCACTTTGTTCAACTCTGGGATCCACAGTCCTGAGCAGGCCTGTGGCCATAATTTGCATACAATGATGTCATACATGGGGACGATTTCTGGTTTCTGCAGCAACAAACTATCAAGTGTGGACTCCATAACCAGATTAGTTATCCTGTATGATAGCCATACCACAAGGGAACTTCCAGAATCACATTGATCTTCATAGTAGATCATAGGGTCCAAAGTATAACCTAGGTAAGCTATTCTGTCTTTTCTCTTCTTTCAGCCTCACTACTCCTCCTCCTCCTTTCCCATCTTCCTTCTTCTTCCTGTCTGTCTCTCTCTCTCTCTCTGCTTCTGTCTTTCTTTATCTCTCTCCCCTCCTTATAATAATTGTGCAGTTACACAAGGATAAATGTCTCCACTGTCTGTCTGTAACACAGCCCTGATAAGAAAATCATGCCATATGTTACTCAATTTCAATATACACCAAACAAAAGGAGGGTGGTTATTTTCATTAAAACATTTAAATCTTCCACATAATTATAATAGAAACTAAGTGAATATATTCTCTTATGAAGGTTATTATGAAATAAACCATCAAGGCACTACTTGAAAACTACATTGGGCTTTGATATGCTATGATCTGATAACTCTGGGTGAAATTTATGATGAGGTCAAAGAAAGAATGAAAATCCTCCTTACCTGGATGCATTCTATCCATCTAGAGAGACTGTGAGCAAATTTCCCTTCCTTGGAGAGACCTTTCGCACAGCCTACAGCAAATCTGGTTTCAGATTCTCAGTGCCCCTTCTACACACACATACTGTAACACATCCTACCACCATACAATGACTCCATTTGTGCATCTCTTGTCCTCTCTGGAAAGAAGAATCTGTGTTTTTTTCTCTACAACACTAAAGCCAGCATTGCTTCCTACTATGGATTTAATGAGTTACATTTATGAAGTGAATTGAGATTAGAACAGCAATCTATCAAAATTAAGAACACTATGTTCATTGATTGTAATTTTTTTGAGGAGAAAACTCCTCAATGTCATTAGTCCCACAAATAGTATATTTACATGGTCTGTGTGAAAAATCCATGAACTTGGATTGGGAGAACCAATATTGTGAAAATGTCTATATTGCCAAATATAATCTATATGTTCAATGCAACCCCCATCAAAATTCCAATGAAATTCATCACAGGGATTAAAAAATTAACCCTAAAGTTAATATAGAAGCACAAAAGACCTCAGTATAGCCAGGGCAATGCTGGATGCCTTACAATTCCTGATTTCAAACTATTCTATAGAGCCAGAGCAATGAAAACAGCACAGTACTGGCACAAAAACAGATATGAAGACCAATGAAACAGAATAGAGGACCCAGATAGGAATCCATAAAGCTATGCCCACACCTTATTTTCGACAAAGATGCCAAAAATATATGATGTAGAAAAAACAGTCTCTTTAGTAAATGTTTCTCGGAAAACTGGATATCTTCATGCAGAAAACTGAAACTAGACCCATGTCACGCACTCTGTACAAACATCAATTCAAAGTGGATTAAGAACCTTAATATAAAGCCTGAAACTCTGAAACAACTACAGGAAATAATAGGAAATATACTAGAACATATAGACATAGGTAACAACTTCCTAATAGAACTCCAATGGCTCAGCAAATAAGAGAAAGGATAGACAAATGGGACTGAACCAAACTAAAAAGCTCCTGCACAGCAAAAGAAACAGTCACTAGACTGTTTCATACCCACATATTTATATGCCCACATAGCATATTCCCTCACCATTGCCTTCATTCACCCTCCCCTTCTCACAAGTATCCCCCCACTGTACCTACTTTATAATCATGTCTTCCATTTATAATTCCAAAGTCAATGTTCAAAGGGGTTTCTCAATGTGTCCCGGCTGTGAATATACTTAACTTGGTAATTCAAACCCCTCTGTTACTCTCTTACCCTTTCCTTCCCAGTCCCATTACTGAACAGCTTTCAATACTGAAAGTATTGAAATTACTGCCCATAGGATGGGAGAAAATCTTTGCCAGCTATTCATCTGATAAGGAAATAATATCCAGAATCTATAGAGAACTCAAAGAATCAACAACCTAATAAAGAAATGGGCACATGAATAGGGAATTTTCAAAGGAAGAGGTATAAATGGCTAATAAATATACAAAGTAGTACTCAACTTCCCTGGCCATAAAAGAAATGCAAATCAAAGCTACACTAAGATTTTACCTCACTCCAGTTGGAATGGCTATCATCAATAATACAAACAACAACAATGCTGGTGACAATGCAGCAAAACGGGAACACTTATATGCTATTGGTGGGAATATAAATTAGTAAAACCATTACGGAAAACAGTATGGAGAGTCCTCAAAAAGCTAAAGATAGAACTGCCATATATTCAGTGACAGCCAAAGCACATACCCAAAAGAATGTAAGTCAGGATAGAATAGAAACACTTGCACACTGATGTTTACTGCAGCACTGTTCACAATAGCCAAGCTATGGAAATAACCCAGATGCCCTACAACTGATGAACAGATACATGTATATATGTGTATATATACACACACAATGAAGTTTTATTCATTCATAAGGAAGAATGAAACTATGTAGAGTGAGGGTAAATGGGTGGATTTGGAGGACATCATGTTCAGTGAAATAAATCATGTTCAGAAAGACAAAGTCCATGTATTTCTATCATATGTGGAAGATAGATCCAAAAGATAAATGTACACACAAAAACAAGCATGCTCACATACACATTTGTATGTAGAACATCTTTGTAATAGTGGAACTACTGTATGGCACTGAGGGAAGGAGGGAAAGGGAAGGAGAACAATAGAAAGTCAACAATATCGAAATGCATTACATCTGTGCAGGTAGAGGACATAACAATATGTATTGAAAGCTGTTCAGTAATGGGACTGGGAAGGAAAGGGTAAGGCAGAGTAACAGAGGGGTTTGAATTACCAAGTTAAGTATATTCACAGCCGGGACACATCGAGAAACCCCTTTGAACATTGACTTTGGAATTATAAATGAAAGACATGATTATAAAGTAGGTACAGTGGGGGGATACTTGTGAGAAGGGGAGGGTGAATGAAGGCAATGGTGAGGGAATATGCTATGTGGGCATATAAATATGTGGGTATGAAATAGAATGATGAAACCTCATGCAATTGCCTTAAGTGGGGCAAGGAGGAGGTGTAGCGGGGAGATGGTGGGGGCGATCTAACCAATGTACAATGTAAGGTGCTTGGGAACTGACACAATGAACCATCCCCTGTACAATGAGTGTATGCTAATAAAAATGAAAAAAAAATTTAAAAATTTAAAAATGGAGATGAATCAATTTGTTATATATATATATATACACACACACACAGAAATGTCTTAATGAAACTTCCCATATAGCTACAGTAAACAAATAAAAATGTCTTTTTTCAAAAACAAAGGATAGAAAGGTAAAACAGGTCCTGTGTGGGAGTTGGTACCAGTGGGAGGGGGGAAGATAAAAGAAAATGGTAAAGGAGGGCAGATATGCTGGTCATATTATGTGTTCATGTATGAAAATGGAAAAATGAGAGCTGTTGAACTATTCTAAGAAAGAGCAGAGTGGGGATAGAGGAGAAGGATGGAGGGGTGAATCTAACTAAGATATATTGTAAGCACTTTTGTAAATGTCACAATGCACCTCCAGTACAATGACATGCTAATAAAATCAAATTAAAAATAAAATAAAGGTCCTATGTTCCAGAAAAAAGGAAAACTCCATGCACTAGGCAGTGGGTTAGAAAGAGAAGAAGTGGGCCCCAGTTATGAGAGTGAACCAGTCTCTACCTTGGGATTTTCAAAACATGGGAAACATACACAGATCTAACTATTTCTCTTGCCAAAATTATGTGGGCTACATCAAAACTATACAGTGAAAAGTTGAGGGCTTGCCAAGAATTAGGGGACACAGAGAGATGAATAGGCAGAGCACAGATAATTTTGGGGACAATGAAATTACTCTATAATACTAAAATGTTAACAGTGAGGGAGGAGCTATACCGATGGAAGGAGGGAATATTTGGGTGACTTTCTTCTTTCTTCTTTCTTTGTTGGAAACCTAAAATTGTTATGAAGGCTTCCAAAAAATGGAAAAGGAAACAACAAAAGAAAGGAGAATGTGGTCAGTGTCCTGGGGAATATGAATTGAGCTTCCTCAGAACAAGGAGACACTGAGACACCAGACAGGGGAACATTATAGGCAAAGCCCAGAATTCTAATGTACATGGTCTGGTGAGCCATGAGTGAGCTTCTAAGTAAACGGAGAAAGAGGAAGAGCTGCATGAGGTTAGGAAGACAGAGGGAACCTTTAATACAGATCAACTGTATGCCATGGACAAATAGGAAACCTGGTTGATATCTCACAGGTTACAGTGTATATCTTGGAACAAACAGTATTTCATCAAACTTATCATAGACAATTAAGACAGGTGCATGAAGGGCAGCCAGGAAATAAGGTACCAAAATAGCAACAAGTTAGATTCATCACTATAATTGTGAGAGAGTGAGAGGAGCAACTCTCACTCAAAGACATTTAGAGTTATATACTAACAAATGTCATTGAAGTACAACCATTCTTTGTACTTGCTTTGTGCCTACCAGTACTTCTGCTATCCTATGAGCAGATCTATTCATTGCTCACAATAAGCTTGTAGGGTAACCCCTTTTGCCCAACTTCATACGCTGTTTGAGAAAAAGACTCAAATACAGGCAGTCTATTCAACTCTCAAGGCTTTAGGCAAAACATTCAATTCCTTTCTGATTCTGGGAAGGGGACTATAATTTGTGATCTGGAATTAAAGAATCATCAAAGTAATTTGTAAAAGAACAAGGAGGTCAAGAAAAGCCTTCATTTTTGAGTGAGGTTACAGATAATGCTGTAAAAGTAGTTTGGGGGATGGGAATGATTCAGGTGGGCAGTCTGTGGAGAGAAGCTCTGGGGAAAGCCAGGCCTCTGAGAGTCACTGCCTATGGTTCTTCTAGGAAGATGAGACCATGAGGATGGAACCCCTGACTCAAACACATGACAGAAGCTGCAGAGAGATGCTTGTCCTAAAATATTCCATATGTATAGACAACGAATGGCTTAGAGAAACCTGCATGAGCAGATGTCCCCAGAAGGACCTCCCCAAGCCCTGTTTTAACTGCCCTTTAAGACTCAAGAGCCCTGATCTGCCAGGTGGAAGGAAAGGGGTGGGCAGTTAACTCACAGAGAAACTGAGGTTGCCTTTTCCTCTGATGCCTCAGGATGGAGGCACACAAAGAGAAGTCAATTCATAAGAAATAAGGGTATACAATATAATTACAGACAGGAGTTGAGGGACTGAGATTTGTATGCATAGACTACATATCAATACTTGTAGGGGAAATGGCTGGAAGACAATCTACAGTGAAATTTGATACTGATAAAGTTAAAGGTGCCAATAATGGGTGTTCAGTTTATTTCTTCTCCAACTTCTCTCGTATTCAATAAATGATATAAGGTAGATGAACATGCATATATGCATATATACGTAAGCATTCATAAACAGAGCTATACAGACACACACACACACACACATACACCATAGTATCAATGTTCTGGGTTTTCATTTTATTTTTTTTTATTGTTGTGCTGTGTGGGGGCACATTGTAGCATTTACAAAAACTCTTATAATGTATCAAATATATACTTGAATCTATCCCCTCCACCACTCTCCTTTATCCCTCCCTCCCCCAATTCCTAGAATAGTTTGAACAGATATCATTTTTACATTTATATACATGTGTACACAGTATTTGCACCACATTCACACTCCTAGTCTCAGTGCTCTGTTTTAAACTTGCTTTGACCAGTTATGTTGGAGGTTGTCTAACCTGGGATGCATTTCAGCTGTCATGCACCTAACTGACACTAGATGGCAGAGTATAACTGATTTAGAAATCTCACTCAGCTTTCAAAACCTCCCAAATTTAGTCATTTTGGCCCTAGGATGGGCTCATAAGCCTGGTGGCTTAAAACACTTTCCAGCAAGAAGGCAAGGCAGAGCATGGAATCGAGTCAGGGAGTCGTCTTTGAACATTGGCTTAGTTCCACATAGTCTTCAATAAATTCTTAATCTCCTTGTGTTTCAGTTTCTCTCTGAAATGGTTTGTGAGATTATTTATAGGACTAAAGAGCTAAAGCACTTAAGCCCATGGCATAGGGTCTGGAATTTTCTGGTCCATGCAGGGTTTCCATGGTTAGGCTGAAGAAGAGGACATGCAAGGGATACACCCTGAATGTCCAACTGCTCTCCAGAGAACCTATAAGTTCATTAACAAACCATGTAATCAGCTCTATACACATGCATAAACAATACACAAAAACTTGCATTCTTCCCTCCTTCCATGAGCCCCCACGGTCAAGCAGCTCATTTCCTTGAGTACTTTGCCTTACTAGTGGCATAAAACAGGTACTTCATGGAAAATCTCAACTCAATGCCATTAAAGTTCAACATGGATGACTTTATGTTTGCATTGCACAAGTGAAGAAAAAAGGACTTCTGCCAACTGTCGGTCACTCTGGGGTGTATCTGGGGTGTTGGTGATAACTATTCTGTAAGTAAAACCACTGGGACATCAGGCACAATTCCAGAAGGAGCCAGGGATGGAGTCTTTACTCCAGTTGCTCTTTTGTTGATTGATTTATCATTGTCACTGAAATAAAGTCATTTCAATTAGCTTAACCTTAATTCTTGTTTCACTTCTCTGACCTGATAAAATACTTTCTCAATTTGGACTCACTGTTCTTGGGATGTAAACAGAGCCAGGAACCCACTGGCAAGCCTGATTTTTGAATCTTTCCAAAACACCAAAAGACGAACCTGTCATGGGGCAGTCCACATATCTGTCCTCAAAGATAACAGGTAGGGTATTCCAGTCACCATCGATGTCCAGGCACTCTGCGGGCAGTGGGGGCATGCTGGTGAGGTACTCCGAATTCCGGATGTCCAAGGACAGCTGGCTGTGGGTCTGTATCCTGAGGAGCACACAGGCAGGATGACCATCCAAGCAAGACTGAAATATTCTAAAAGTGTTATTGCATCCCTCTAATCCCAGAAAAATATTCAGAAGATCTCTATCAGAGTCTGGCAGTAACCATCTTCTATTCATTCACCCTTCTGTTCTTCTCACTCACCTGTCAGGCCACAAAGCCATAGTTGGCTGTGTTTGGGAACTAGCCCAGGTGCTGGGGTTAGAGGTCATGGAGTTTAGGATTAGGTATAACACAAGGTTATATGTCACATACCATTTAGAGGAATTCAATAAATACCATGTTAGTGGAGTCTCATCTGAGTTTCTAAACGGCCAGGGATCTCACATTAGTACTTTGGAGGAAAAACTTAAATTTACTTATCCCCTACTTTTACTTTTCTAACTTAATACTCCATTTATGGTCTGAGCCATATTTTGGTATACCTGAATTTAAAAGATACCTAGTTAGCTTTTTTATGTGGTTCTGGCATCCTTGACGAGGGCCTAAGTTCCTGTAATTCAGAAACCACATTTTTTTAGTTCTCTGTGCAGGATTTTTTAAGTGCTAATATTTATTCTCCATGACCAAACACCTTTCCACCAGCAGGAATTGGATTCCAGAGTTCTGAAAAACCACTATTCCTAATTCAAACAGGTCCTGTCTGGGGAAGGGTACTAGTGAGAAGATAAAGAAGAATGACTATGGTTGATGTACTTGTATGAAAACAGAAGAGTGAAACCCATTGCAATTGCTACAAGTGTGTGGGGGAGATTAGGGAAAATGATGGAGGGGCTGAATCTAACCAAGGTACATTGTAAGCACATTTGGAAGTGAAACCTCCTGTACAACTAATATTTGCTAATAAAATGTTGTATAAAAGGGCTTTCACAGTACAAAATGTTTTTTCCCTCTCCCTTAATTCCCTACAGAAGGGAGACTTTATTTTACCTCACAGAAAAAATATTTTTCTTCAATCACTTTTCCTCCAGGGAAGGGAGGGTCTTCAGAAGTTGTGAGTTTTGGAATAGAATTGAGCATACATAGCTAGTTTCTGTCTTTCTGTCTGTCTGTAACAGTCTGAACTCTTGGATCTCCCACCTCACTTTCCAGCCATGTAAACCATCTGCCCCTATAGACCAGCTTAGTAGCTACAGAAATCCACACAGGTACAAAGCAACTTCTCTAATCAGCATTGTCATCAGCAGATACAATGAAGTGAATGCATATACATAAATGGCACTAAGTACACATAGATTTCATATAAAATGCATATTAAGCATGTCTCTCAAATATCCAATGTATACACTAATTTAATTAGTACCTTCAATATGTATTTTATTTCCTTCTTATATTTCAATAGGATCTTAAGTCACAAAAGTAAAGTGGGGTATTTTTTTCTCTCTTTCTTAAAGCCCTAAAGGCTGTTACAGCTTCATACCTATTTTAATATTTCATTCTTTGACTATTTTCTGAATATTTAAATGGGATTTTCTCAATTCTGCACTTTCCTGCACCATAGGAATCTGGACTTTTGAGTCCAGTTTTTAATTAATTAAAAATATGCTGATTGATCATGAAGGCACTTAGAATGTGCAGTCTGGGATTAAACTTGATTCTAGATCTACAGCTTGCAGAATCATGACAAAGGCAACAGGCTGAGCAAGTGATCGCAGCACAGCAGGATGGGTGTTGGAGAATGGGGTATGAACTGTGTTGTACAAGGTCATCTCCTACTAGAATGCAGCTTCTAAGCATGGGACTGTTGTGAATGTGGCCAAGTACCTTAAACAATGCTTGTCATGCACCGAGGAAATGGCTAAAGATGTGAAGGGGCACATGGAAATCAGTGCCAGCCTTTGATTACAGGACCCTGAGGAGGTTCTCAGCCAAGATGCTGTATGCCATCTTCAGGCCCAACCACAGCAACAAAGAGGCTTTGCTGGCAGGCCTTATGTGGAAACTGCCCTGCCTGCCTCTGGCTTGGGGCACAGCATCACAGCTTCCTAGAGGAAGATGCAAGATGGTTGCAGGATGCTGGCAGAACTATGACTTTATGTCATTGTCCTTATGTACAGATCAGGTTTGGCTTAAGGAGATAAACATGGGTGTCAAGTTGAGAAGAGGCAGGCTTGTGATGGTTGATTTCGAGTGTCAACAGGGCTGCATTAAGAATACCCAGCTAGCTGGTAACACATTGCTTATACTCAATCATTATAGTCATTATTCTCAATGTGTCTGCTGAAAAGGAAACTCAGGTGGTTTGGCACTTGGTTAGAATGACTGGGCTGCCCCAGGTGTGTCTGTGAAGTTGTTTCCAGAGGAGATTGGCATGGGAGTTGGTGAACTAAGAGAGGAAGATCTGCTCTCAATGTGGACACAATCCAATCAGCTGGGGGCCTGGATGCAATATAAAGGTGGAATGCAAATACTTCTTTCTTTTCTGGAGCAGTATACTCCATTTTTCTCACGTTCTCTAGGTACTGGACTCTGGAACTTACATCAGAGGCCTCCTAGGCTCTTAGGCCTTTGGCTTTGAATCGGGGGTACTATCAGCTTCCCTGGTACTCCAATCTTCAGTCTTGGGCCTAGCAAACATCCACTTTCCCTGGTTGTCTACCTTGCACATGGACTATTGTGGGACTTGTCAGCCCCCATAATTGAGTGATTCAATTTCCCAACTAAATCCTTTCTCACTTACCTTTCTATTTAATTCTGTCATTTCTGTTTCTTTAGGGAACCCTGACTAAAACAGGTCTTTAGGAATTACCCAGTGATTAGTAAGAGCAGAAAGGGGAGCTTGAGTTGGAATAGGCAGGTCTTAAAGTACCTGCTGAGTCTAAACCCCATGTGGACCAGGACCAGGGCAAAGCCAGGGAGCCCTCTAAGCCCAGAAACACAACAGCCAAGCCTATGTTCCAGGACAATAATTCTGACCAGGGAGGGAGTTTGTGAGTGACTGTGTGTTTATATGTGTGGTATACGCAGGAGGGTTTGTGAGTGTGGATATATGTGTATGTATGTTGCTATGGGTATGTGTGTGTCCTGTGTTTCTCTGTACACATATACTTACATTGTGGTATAAGCACATGTACATATGTGTCTGTTCATGGGCACAGATGTGGGAGTATATCACTTGTGCACACACATGTGTGTTTGTACGTCTTGTAAGATTCTATGAAGAATGGGGCACAAGATTGGAAAAATCAATTAACAGGCAACAATACTAGAACAACAATATTTAAAGAAAGGGACTACTTACCATCTGGATTAAGGAAAGTACACAGAGAACATGGAGTAAGAGTTGGTGTCAAGTTCATTATTAGCAAAATTGGGAGTAAATGTTGATTTCTAGACTGACACTCCATGGACCTCAATGATCTCTCATCCTGGTCATCACCCAACTTAACTCCCTACCTTCCTCCTTGCACACTAACCCCCAACCAACAGTATTTTCCCTTAATCTTTAAGACAACATGTTGACTCTGTCTGACTTCAGAGCCTTTGCACTGCTGTTCCTCCACCTGACCTGTAGTTCATTCTCCTCCATAACTTCTTCCTAGCCTCCAGACCTGACAACCTCACTTTCTCAGAAGTGCCCTGCATCAACACCCAACCTTACACAGCTACTGGTCCTACTCACTTGAGCCAGGTACTTTCTTTCACCAGCTTTTAGGTTTTAAGCTATCTGAAATTTTCTTGTGTGTTTGCAAAATATTGTTATTTTCTGTCCAATGAGAGCAGAGTCCTGGTCAACCTTTTATTTTTTAAATTATTGTATCTAATGTCCCCAGGTCAATGCCTGGAATCTAATGAGTGACCAATAATCATACAGAGGAAGGAAACAATGGAAGAAGAAGGGAGAGAGGAAGGGGGTTAAGTAGACAAATATGTTAGCACTTAAGCATATCATTCAATAAATGTGAGGTATCCCCATACCTTATCATCAAAAGGATCCAAACAGTAACATGAACCCTGATTTTCTCTTTTTAAACTATTGTCTCTTACTCTCCTCCCTCAACCTCCACACTCCCCAATCTACAGCAGGAACCTCCTAGATGAGAAGAAAGAATTTAGAATGGAGCTCATTTGTGTTGACCTTACCCACCTGGGTGTGAGTGTGCACCTCCACGCACGGCTGGTGATTAGTACCTGTTCACTTCCTCATTCATCTAAATAGCACTTTGGGAAGCTGGCTTGCATGCATCCCAGCTTGTCTTCATAGTGGGCAGAGGGGCTTGGGCTTACACTTGCCCATTTGTCCTGATCTCTTTGGGTTTCAGTTGGGCCATTCTGCACAGCAACCAGGCCATGTAGGGCCTGGTTTATCACCTAGCCATGTCAGTCAGGTTTACCCTGACTGCAGGAGGACAGCCCAGCAGCACAAAATACTTCTAATTTAGAGGTAGAAAAACCCACATTTGACTTTCTTTCTTTTGGATAGTGGCTCAGTATCATAGAGCCATAGTAAGGAAGCTAGGAGTGTGGCCCAAACTCCAGCAGATTCATGTTTCTGTCACTTGCTGTGTCATCTAAGACAAGTTGCCGAGCCTCTCTGAGCACAGGTTTCTCCAGATTCTTCTTTAAGACAGGGAGAATAGCAGCACCTACCTCATAAGGCAAACGCGAACATTAAATGAGCCAGTGCTTGTGAAGCACCTAAGTTTCTTTCCAGAATAATATCAACAGGCAGTGAGCACCAAAAGTCAGCTAAGTGTCTACTGTGTTAAACTCTATGTACATAGCATCTTATAGAATGAATCAATTGTAAAATGTTAGCTAGTGTTACAATATCAGCACAAAAATCATAAAAGCCAAAGTGATATCTCAGTTACCATGTAACAGAAATTAACACATCAATAATGGTCTCCATCCCCTTCACCATTTCCATATCCACTCTTCAACAAGCATTCATTTGTCCTCTTTACTGTGTGAGGAGCCCTCATCAGACATAGGTAAAACAGAGGAGACACAACTAAGGACAGCCTGGCCACTAGTCCATTTTTAGTAACTGACTAACACTTCCAAAAATTACAAAACATGGCAAGAAATCGTCTGCATTTTCATGGCAACCCTGTACAATCTCACACTCCTAGACATACGCACACTGAAGGAAGAGCTTTAGCAAATACTTCTCAGTCCTGTTACCTATTCAGTGCCCTATGCTGTCCTAGCTGAGGTGATTTCACTTTAAAACTACTGAGCCAAATCTACTGAGTAATTTCACAGCTCCCTAAACGGTGGTGAACTGTTGTTTGAGAAACACAATCTAGCATAAGCTTGAACAAGATGGGTCCTGACAGGTGAGGCTCACTTATGCCACCTTGCATTTCCACTTGTCTATCCTGATTTGGAAGCACAGTTCTGCCTCATGTGTGAACAGGATGGCTTCCCAAAACAGCTGTTCTTTCTCTGCCTGTCTCTGATTTCCGAGTGAGCACACTGCATCTCTGCACAGTTGCTAGGTTTGCATATCCCACATTCACCATCTCAATCTCAGTCTCACTTCTGTTTCTGGCACATTGCACCTTTTCTCTGGTAATTTGCTCAGTCTGAAATGAAATCCCTGACATTCTAGACATCTTATTCTTGATGACCTGGCTAAAAGTTTACTTCCTCCAGAATAGAATCCTTCTACCCTAGGGGAGAGGCATCTGTTTGATACCATATATTAATAGTTCTGTCAACTGAATACTTAAAATATTCTCCAGTTTCAGAATCATGAGGTCAAGGCCAGCCTGGGCAAAGTTAGCATGACCCTATGTCTAAATAAAAATGAAAAGGCTGGGGTAATGGTCCAAGAGGTAGAATGAGGCCCTGGACTTGATGCCCAGTACTGTAAAAAAATTCTCCAATCTCTAAAGTTACTCAATAGGACAAATACAATCTCCCAGAGATCTGCAGGATCCATTTTGCACCTGACTCACATCTCTACTCAAATGTCACCTCCTAGTGAGACTTTGTCTGACAACTCAATGAAATAGCACTATCTATTCCTTTGACACTGATATATGTTTCTCCATAGCACCTACCATCACTTGGATTATCATATCTAGTTATTTGTACACCTTCCACTATTAATATATATGTTCCATGAGAAACAGAATTTGGCTATTTGGTTCACTGCTGAATAGCCCACACTAAGAAAGGCTCTGGCATATAGTCAACACTAAATAGCTATTAACTGAAGGGAGAACTCTCCATTTTACATCTAAGAAACCAGCTAACAGGGCTTCAGCACTTGTCTGATGTCACAAGTATTACAAATTATAAAGTCAAGATTTTAAACCCTGCATATGAGATGTGAAGTGCTCAGGTCCAAATTCATTTAAAGTTTAAAAAAATTAATTGAATTCATCTTAAAGTCCAAATTATTTCTCTGGTCTTTAAGATCCCACATGGGCTGTGCCCTCCCTATCTCTTCCCTCCACCCCGCTCTGTTCTACCTAACTTGCCTTTCTGTGGCTCCTCAGTTTCTATTTCTACTTGCGAACTTTATCACAGTTATTCTGCCTGCCTGAGCGACCTTCTTTCACGTCCTGGTGGGACTTTCTATAATCCCAGACTATGGTCAGATGTCACAGCCTCAGAAAGACTTTTTCTTATCACTTTGACTAAATCAGTCCTTGTCCCACACCTAGTGTTTCCTTGGATCCATTTCATTCTTACTTACAAGAGCTTCTTGTGCCAGTCTTTTCCCAACTCCATATTTGGTGATAACCCACAAGTAACCTGAAATAGACCTTTGTAGGGGGATTCACTCAACAGAAATCAGCAAACATTATCAAGCATTTTGTTGTTTTTGCTCTTCTGAGAGCTGGTTGTTAAACATTTATATGGACACTATCCATGCCCCTTTCTCATGATTGTCTATGGCTTTATCTTGTTTTATTTTTCTTCACTTGTCACTACCTGAAATGACATATGTCTTGCCTGTTTGTCCGGTAGAATGAATGACACATGAGGATAGCATTCCCTACTATATTCCTGCTGCCTACATGGACACATTTATCAGTCATCATCTAACATTTATCAGTCATCATCCAACACTTCTTGAGCAGAGTCTGGGGCTTACAGTGTTCTATGAGCATGGATGTTCCCACTTTACACGCTCAGCTTTTACCTTTATCTATATTATGGATAAGGAAAATAGGACTAGATGAGGTTGAGATAAAAATTACAACAGAAAAGTAACTTTCAAGGAAGGACCCAATGCACCTCACTGAAGGAGTGGCATCTTGAACTCACGTCAACTGTATGCTGTGTCATTTGTATCTTGCCAAGGTGATTGACAGGCTAGCATTTTGACTCTGCAAGCAGAGTGGTGTGCTCTGTGCCCGTCACCTCCATCTGTGCTCATGGTCCCTGAGAACACAGCAATGGCCCCAACACAACAAAAACTCAAAGGCTTCTCTACAATTATGTGACTCTAAAAAGCTGATTTCTAATAATAGTCCTAATTTTCAGACTCTTAAAGTTATATTTGTCAGTTTAGCTCCTTTGATGTTAGTTATACAAAGTGTGTTCAGCCAGTTCTAGCTGGAGGCTGGGATGAGTGAATGAATAAATGACATAGTGAAAGACACTAGCCATCTCTAGATGAGATATTTTAACAAGCAGATGCATTTTCCTTGATGGCCTGATCACTTTCAGAACCCATAAGGCAAACTGTATACGTCACTGTACTTTCCAAACAGAAGACAACATGGAGAGGAAACAAGGTCAAACAGATGAGGGGAAAGACCTCCGGTCCATCTTGCGTAATGTGGGGTCCCGCATGTTTTTCCTGCTAGATGTCCTGTGGCATAGCAAACATTCTTCCACCCACCTTTGTTTTTTAAGGTGAACATATTGTGTAGAAACAAAACAAAATCCTTAGTCTTGTGTAGTGAAAGCCAAAAGATCTTGCAAGGGTCTCTGCCTCTCTTCGCCAGGGAACCTAGGAAAGAGGATGACCTCATCTCCTATTAACCCTCTGACTTTCTTCAGTACTTTTTCCATCTTTTCTGGAGGAAAGAAAACTTAGACAGTCATCAGTCCTCCTCCTAATTAGGGAGCCTAGGCTTTATTATTATGTTAAACACATATTTTAGTTACTGCAGTAAGGGGCATATCTGACATGACTTGTGACCATACCACCTGCTTCTAATTCATTTTTTAGAGGACTCAGCACAGATGTCTGTAGGGACCTAGGAAATCTTGATTCTGTCTATAGAACCATAATGACACTCAACAAAAGAAACCTTTGGCTGTGAACCTTCTCTGCCACCTGCAGCTCCCACTTCTGCCATGTGTCTGCCTCCTTTTCCTGAGCAGGAGTTGCAGATTGAATAAGCAGAGGGGAGCAGGCCTGTTGGCCTCACAGCCAAGGATGAACTGAAAGTGGGGGGTTGGACCACAGAAAGTAAGCAATGTGTCTCAAGTGGCCACTCTACAGAGGGAAGTAGGCATGCAATTTATCACTTACAGATTTTCCTGAAAGGTCAAGACTGCCAGTTTTTGGTGCTCCATATAAAAGAAGGCCTCAGAAAACCTTCGGACCTGAGGAATAAAACAATACAAAGTGGTTAATTCTTGTGAATATTGAAGGTTGAGGAGATAGGCATTTTGTACTGATAGAAGGAAAGCTCTGCCCATACCTGGAGATCTGAAACAACAGGCTTTGTATGGTCAACAGTTGCCCTCACTCTTTCATAGTTCTTAGCCCAACCCTGGTTCATGGGTACAATTTAGTGCATGCTTATGAATCTGTTCTTGCACTGCTTTCTATCATTCTTTATATTTAGGTTTTATTCCTTCTACTTCAATATAAGATCTTTGCAGACAGTCCTCATAAATAAATACAGAATAAACAGAATTTCCAAAGCCATCTCTGCAAGTATTTTTGCTAAGCACTTCGTGGACTCTGAGCCTCAGATACTTGTTTCTCTTGCTCTAAATGAAAGAACCAGCCACTGTTTGTTAGGACCTACCTATCTGTACCCACCTTCGTGGTAAAGAAATACACTAAAAGCAAAGCCTTACATTTGTAACTACTTTTCCCAAATACTTTTTAAAGACCTTGTACTTGAAATACCTTCTATGATAAGCTCTGCTATCATTAGACATAGACAAGGCAGGGGTTTTATGAAGGACAGAGTAGAGGTCTGAGTGGCTAAGTGAGGTAAGAATGTTCCTGGTGGAGCCAGGAAGAATGCTCAGCTCTATGGATTGGGTCAATCCCAAATCTGATTGTGCTCAATGAACTAACTCCTGTAAAATTTCCTCATAGATTTAATACATGTAATTTACACCACTTGATAGTTTACCCTCAAGGCGTGATGCTCCTGGGTGAGGTAAGTGGTCACTTGTGAGTGCAGCGTCACTGTGTCCAGGAATTGAGTCCACAGAGCCATCAGGTGGGAAGCGAGCCAAGCAAGATCCTTGCTGATCTGCTCAGCTATCTTCTCTGGATTGTTCAGCAACTGCAAAGAAAAGAACAAAAACTGGCGGTCAAGGGCCCCCCTCTGCTAGCTGTTGCAGTCTTCTTCCTGAGATCCTACTGAGTTCTCCACTTTTAATGAATCTTTCTCCTTTCTCTGTGCAGTGGTGGCATTACATGACAAGTCTCAGTCCTAGAGGATACCATTATCATATCCCTTTGGATGTTGGAATTAAAATAACAATGGCAACCCTAATATATTTGGTAGTTCCTGTCTACAGAATAGCATCCAGTGAGATCACTCAATACCTAGGACCCATCCATTTCTTCATGTTATTTTATCTTCATATATGTCTCAAAAATAGCTTATTTTGAATTATCAAAAGTGTCAGCATTTTTGATGATTTTTCTCCCCCTTTGTATTCAATGGCTACCCCTTTTTAACTTCTCAAACCAAAATTTTTAATTCATTACCACAAAACCCAATTTATCCTACTGTCGGTGCCCAGATCCAGGGATGACTACTGCCTGGACTTTTCACCATTGCCTCCTGGTTGAAAACAGCCATAGCATCTTAACCCCAATCCCCCCAGCACCACAGATCCTTACACTAGACTCTAAGTTATACCCATTAAGTTCTGAACTCAGTACTTTTCAATCATTGCAGCTTCCACTTACTAACATCTATTATTTGTCCATTAAAACATCAAGCATTTTATATCTGCTTCTTATTTAACTCATACAACCACCCTTTGGTAGAGGTATTGTTACCATAATTTTAGAGTAAATTTAAATAAAAGTGAGTAAACAGAATGCCCAAGTTCACACCAAGGTGGAATTCAGTCGAAGGACTGTCTGATCACAGTCATAAAGAGCACCACAGTGGTTGTTTAAAAACGTACCCTGCAAGAAGGCAGTCTGACCACAAAGCATTTAACTAGCTAGGTAATTTGTACATGAAAGTTCTGCAATAACTTTGGCCCACCACCATCTTCCTGCCATCACTCTACATTTCTTAAGAAGGATTCCAGGTTGCCTGAATTATAATTTGAAAGAATCAGCCTAGAATGTCTTGGATCCCTTAGGGAAGACCCTTTAGACAGAACCACTCATTCTAAGTGGATTTAGAATGGGGAGAACCATCTTTTTGAGAAGTAACTTGAATATCTAGAGGTGAGAAGAGAGATCACACCTCTGGCATAAGTATTTAATGAGCATCTTCTATGTCTTAGGAACATGTTTAGTATAAATAAGGACACAAATATGAAAAGAGGGGGTCTTTGTCTTCAGGGAGCCTCATTCAGTAGGGAGCTAAGAATGTGGGCTAATAAGTAAGAGTGATATCTGTGACATTCGTGATGGACCAGGGGCATAGAACCATACCCATTTCAAACCTCATCTCTCTCCTTTCTCTGTTCTGTGCCTCAGTTTTATTTTTGGATAAAATGACATATAGGGAAATCTAAGTCCAATGCTTGATACACTAAAATTTTCTTTTGCTATTCTTGGGCTGAGGGCTGGTGCTGAAAGGCAGATCAGGTAAAGTAAGGCATCTAAGAGTATGAAAAAGAGAGAAAGAGAAGTTTAGTGCAGAGTAAGGCTCTCTAAATTGTGGGGGGAGTGGTTCTTGCTTTGTCATTAATGACTTGCTTCCAGACATTAGGCTTCATTCAAGTATAACATCTCTGAGCTGATTCTTCTATTATATAAGTCAGTCTTTGATGCCCACTCTTCACTTAGTCCCAAACACCATGGTCAGGAGTGTTGAAAGGCAGTAAGTAAGGGTTTCCTGGGAAAACAGGGTCAAGTCACTGGAAAACCTCCAGTTTGGATAGTGAGGTTTTTCAATAAACTATAGTAGCTCATATTTGGATCTTCCCACCAGAACCCCTCACTAATGAGAGGCAAACTACTTTATTAACACCCAGCAATATTTACCCTGGACTACCTCCCCTTCTGGCCAGATGCACAGTTGTGGCCAGTCACACTGACCTGCTATGATGGCTTGCACAGACCTGGCTATTTGCAAACATCAGTCCTTGGTCAGGCTGCACCCCCTCCCCAAATGCCTTCCCCCATCACCATCCAGTTTCTTTTCTTCTTCTCTTCATCATTTTGACTTTGTCTGCCTTCCAGCGGGGAACCAGTAAGAACTCAATTCTGATGACTTGTTTCTAATGACTTTAGAAACTCTGTATGCTCTGAGTGCAAGACTGACCCTCCAACCTCCATCTCTCTTTAAAAGACAGGTGTCCTTTTCTTTCACAGACCTCTCTAATGGTGCCTCTAACCAAGTGTGGTTTGTCTTACCATCAATGTCCCTCCTTATCTGCCTTTTGAGCTTTAGTATTCCTAGTTCTTGTGGCTAATATGGCTAATAGTGTAAACTCAGCAACCCTTTATTGAATCAATAGGTGACTTGGCCTCAGGAGGAGGTGGCCTATTTCTCCACCACACAGCCTTTCCTTGCTGGGATTCTGACTCTCTCCCAACCCCCACAGCACTCTCCTCCATTATGATCTTGTTGGCAGACATGGCATGAATTCTGAGCTCAGGTACTAGTACGAAAGAGGACAAAAAAGGAAGCTATTCATTAAATGTGTCTTTAGGAGAGTTATTCCCCTCCCCCAGTTGATTATAGAAATGACTTCAGATAAGGTTAAAGAAGCTTCTAATTAAGCCACAGGAGGACTTTCGATGCTCGCTGATGCCTGGGCCTATCCAATTACAAATGATGGGCTCAGAGAGCTTTCTGCAGCAGACCAGGGAGGGCCCTTCTCGCTAACAAGCAAGCAACACTAGCCCAATTCTGTCACTGGCGAGACTCCTGAAGATAGGCTCTACCACCCTCCTAGGCCACTTCCTCTGCCTTGCCAGTGTGGGCTCTAACCACACACTTCACTTGCTTGTTCACAGGCTCTGTTTATTGAGTGCCTGACTTGTGCGACAGGGTGTGCTGAGTCTGGGGAGCCAAATATAAATACACACACTCCTGGAAGAGGCATTTGATTCCATTATGGCTGTGTACTTTAGATAGTACTGTGAAAGAGGTATATACTGAGCTTTGAGGGAGGGCTAGGGAAGGCTGTCTGGAGATGGTAATGCCTGAATTGCATCTTCAAGGTGAGCAGGCATTACAAGCAGCCTCCCCCATGTTCCCTCCTCAAGCTCTTACAGTGCTCCTCAGTCTGGCACACTAGAGTCCCTGGGACACTGCACAGCTACCTAAGTCTGCGCCTAATTGCAGTATCTCTGAGTTGTAGCCCAAGATCCAGGATTTTTAAATGCTTCCCAATTGATAATAATGTGTACCCAGGACTGTAGATGCCTGCTTCACTGACATCCCTCCTTTGTGCATACCTTCATCTTTGACAAAATTCCTCCATGCTACACCCACCCACCCATCCACATGCACACACACACACCCTACAATTCACTCCTATTTCAGATTTTGGTTCAATGCCACTCATCCAAGTAGTATTTCCTAAATGTACAAGAAGGTGTCTAGGAAAAACAATAACAACTGAGAGTTACAAGAGACTGCACAGAAATCAAATACTTAATCCTTATAACCTAGCTAAGAGTCAGTACTGTTATTATCAGCCCTAGTTTACAGATGGGGTAACAAAGCACAGGAGGTTGAGTAATAGGCCCAAGATTGCATAGTTAGCAAGTGCTGGAGCTTGCCAGGCGGTCCAGCTCCCTGTTCAGCTGCCCTGTGTGACCTGCACGTTGCTCCATCCTCCTGGCTGCTCACATCACATGCTCTCGTGTCTGGTCAGTCCACCCCCAGCTGCAGCACTTTGCTGGAGTCTGGGGATTGCCAGCCACTTTGCATTTGCCGAGCTCAACCCCCCTAAACTCATGGATAGAGCTACAGGTTTCTGCCTGGAAACTCACTGAGGACCCCCTTCTCTAAACGCCCCACTCCCTTCAATGCTTGCAGGCACTATAATACAAAGCAACAGAATTACAAGCCTTTCTACCACATGACTTGGGCCCAAGTAGGGCATGGATCAGAGAAAGTTCAAGTCTCTCAGAGAGACTTTTATCTAATCAGTGCAATCCAAAGTCTTATTTGAGTTCAGTTTGGTAATTTCTTTGGGGGAATAATTTTTCCTACTGCTACTTGGAGACTCATTTGGCATATTTACTTCAGCAAATAGTTGTCAAGCCCAAAGTATGTTTTGGTAATAAGCTACCATATAAATAAGACTCAGTCCCTTTATAGTTTCATAGAGAGGAGAAAAGTGACACCACTCATGATTCTTGACTGACCAGTGGCTGGAGTAGAGTGGCACACCATGAGGTAGGGGAGGCCAAGGGAAACTCTCAGACCCTGGGATCTTTGATGGTTGTCTGCAGAGTAAATATTTGGCTCAGGTCTTGCAGGGTGATGGGGATCGTGTCAGGAATAAAACAAGATGTAAAGTAGAAGGAAGAGCACACAGAAGGGCACTGGGTTAAGGAGCCAGTCTGTCCCCTGAACAGCTGAAACACAGGGTGTGAGGGAGGAAGGGGGAATCTCAGAGACAGGTGAGAGTACACCACGTGTCTGTGGCTTTGACTTCCATACTAAGCCATCAGACCCCCGTCATCTGGATGACAAGCACCACTAGGAGGTTTGAACCAGGATAACGAGAGCTGGGGCGTGTGCTGTCACATGCTTCCTACAGCATACTTAGTGTGGGATGCTCTGTGAAGTAAAAGACAGGGCCCACAGAGCTCTGCCACACAGGGGTATGCAGGTACCCAAAAAGCCCCTGGAATCTGAGCGAGGTAATAGTGTGATGAGGTCTGTTAGACTCTGTGTTCTAGGGAAAGACCACAGGGAGGCCAGGTGGGCATTGCTGCCAAGTCTCTTGGATCCTCAGGAGAGGATCCTCAGGAGAGGGGTTCCAATGCCTCACAAACACCACACTGCAGCCGAGGAGTTCAAACCAGAGAGAGTCAGATCCTGTGCTCAGCCTCACGGAGTGGCAGAGAGAGACAAGGGTGCAGCTAAAGTCTGCTGGACATCTTATAAAGGGTGTCCCCTCATGG